AAAATTGATGCAAGGAAGAACCTTGAATATACGCTGAATAGATGTCCTCTCCAAGCGCTGAACAAAATGACAATACTTTCCAGCTTTCTCCAGCGGACATTGTCCATCATGAGAACACTGCATCAAGAGAACTATAAAATAAAATGAGAGAATTAACAATTTCAAAGGAAAAAAATGGAGAAGCTGGGCAACATATTAATTTTGACACCAGAAAAATACGGGCTAGAGAGCCATTATACTCACCGGAGCAACTATAAATGCACCACTCTTTTGAGTGACCAAGTCCTTGGTAGTTTCATCAGCTCCATCTTTAGATTTACGGCATTTCTAAGAAGTAATGAGTGTGTCATTATACATTATTTTGCAGACACAAAAAATTCCCAGTACAGAAATTGAACAAGCATCCTAACTCAAAAGCCACATCAAGGAGCAAGTAACAAGTAAGAAAACAACTTACCCTTTTTTCCATCCACAATATATGTGAACGCATCTGAGATATGATATTAGATCCTTGTGGTGTTCCAGGTTCAATCAAAACCTATAAAATGTTAGGAAATCAAAGGGTAAATATATTAGGCTAGACATTTGGAAGGTCCAAACTGAAAATTCCATGAAAACTATTATAAAATGGCAAGTGAATTACAAGTAATTTTTTCTTTTGCCCATGTATTCCAAAATCATTTGTCAAAACATATAATACTTGTCCCCTTAGTTAATGGCACAAACCAGAACATAGGATCATCACAAATATATCATGAGCTCATAGTGAAGCATGAAACTCATCCACATAAAATAAAATAAAAAAGCATACCAGGACATCCCGTGTCAGATCCCAAAGCTGGCGTACTACAGTAATTCGATCCTTGAGCGACGGTATCTCTCCAAGAACATAGGACTTCACCCCATTGCAACAAACAACAGTTATTATATGTACCAACCAACCATGCCAAGGCAAACATAATGTGTAAGTGTATAATTTGCCTAACTTACAGCAATTACAAGGTCGTGCTCTCTGTCTGACTTTTTGATGCTTTTGGTCAATGATTGGATGCTATCATAACTATGAATAAGTGGCAAGTCCTTCTGACCTAAAATAACCATGACAAAAGTGGTCAGAGTTTTTTCTGATCTATAGACACTTGTTGATAATGCATGAACAATTGCAATACGGATAGCCAAATGTTAGTAGACTGGTGCTTTAACAACTGCAATTCAACCAGTTATCTATACAAATTAATCTACAAATAATCTCGAAAACATATCAATTAACTAGTTCGAACTGAAAAATCATTAAGAACCTTGTATAAGCTTCTGCCCTGCACGCTGCATTGATTGTGATGGCTCCACTAGATTAACTTTCTCCAAGGAATGTGGCCAGACTTCACGTAGTGCCCTATAGCATTGAATTCACATTACAACCAAATTACAGTCTTACG